GGGGACTTCGTAGGCAGGTGTGCAGAGCAGCTGAGGGGACTTGATGCTGCCATCTTGTGGCTGTGGTGCTGCCATCTTTGAAGGCGGGGCAGTCACTTAGCATATTCCCTCCTTATTGGCTGTGGGCCCTGTTATATTTGTGACAGCATGAGGGTCAGTTAGCATATTCCCTCTTTATTAGATAGGACTAAAGGCCCTGTGCATGAAATTTGTGCATGGGGAGGGGATATCGCTCAGCCCAGCCTGCACCTTCTTCAATCTGGGACCCCTCAAGGGATGTCTGACTGCCTGTTTAGGCCGGATCCCAGTGGACATCTCTCTCACAATCCAGGATTGCTGGCTCCCAACTGCTCACCTGCCTTCCTTCCTGATTGCTCCTAACTACTTCTGCCTGCCAGCCTGATCACCCCCTAACCACTCCCCTGCCAGCCTCATTGATTTCTGACTGCTCCCCTGCCAGCCTATTTGTCCCTAACTGCCCTCTCCTGCAGTCCTGGTCACCCCTAACTGCTCTCCCCTGCAGGCCTGGGCCCCTAACAACTGCCCTTCCCTGCAGGCCCAGTCGCCCCCAACTTCCCTCCTCTACCGGCTTGGTTACCCCTAACTGCCCTGCCTTGCAGGCTTGATCGCCCCCAACTGCCCTCCCTTGTAGGCCTGGTCCCTTCCAACTGCCCTCCCCTGCTGGCCATCTTGTGGCGGCCATCTTGTGTCTACATGGGGCAGCCATCTTTGACCACATAGGGGAAGCTATCTTGTGTGTTGGAGTGATGGTCAATCTACATATTACTCTTTTATTAGATAAGATGGAGGCCTGGTGCATAGGTGGGGGCCAGCTGGTTTGCCCTGAAGGGTGTCCCGGATCAAGGTGGGGGTTCCCTTGGGGCGTGGGGCAACCTGGGCAAGGGGCCTGTGGAGGTTTGCAGGCTGGCCATGCCCCCTGGTGATCCAAGTGGAGGCCCTGTTATCTGGGATTTATTTATTTTACATAATTGAAACTTTGTAGCCTGGAACGGAGCCAAGCCTTCTGCTTGTTTCCTGGCAGCAGCCAATTCTGTTGGGATTTATGTACCTTCTATAATTGAAACTTTGTAACCTTAAGCAGAGGCCTGGGCCAGCCAGAGTGTGCAGAAAGCTTCCTCCATTGCTGAGGCAACCCTAGCCTCCCGCTCTTTCCAGCTCTGTGGCTGCCACCATTTCTGTTTTGCTTTATGTACTTCATCATTGAAACTTTATAGTCTGGAGTGGAGCCTAGGCTGGCAAGGGCAACCTAGGCTGACTTCCTCCATTGCCGGGGAAACCCAAGCCTCCCTCCTGCTCTCTCTGGCCGTAGCCATCTTGGTTGGGTTTATTTGCATATTCACTCCTGATTGGCTGGTGGGCATGGCTTGTGGGTGTATTGAAGTGATGGTTAATTTGCATATTACTCTTTTATTATATAGGATTGGCTGTTCGTATGTCTTCTTGGGAAAGGTGTATTTCAGGTCTTCTGCCCATTTTTTGATTGGGTGGTTTGGTGTTGAGTTTTACGAGTTCTTTATATATTTTGGAAATTAAACCTCTGTCTGAGTTACTGTTTGCAAATATCATCTACCATCTGGGTGGCTGCCTGTTTGTTTTGTTATTCTTTTCTTTTGCTGTGCAGAAGCTCTTCAGTTTGAAATAGGTCCCATTAATTTATTTTTTTACCGTTACCTCCCTTGCCTTTGGGGTCAAGTCTATAAATGTTCTCTACCACTTAGGTCCATAAGTTTGGTATCTATATTTTCTTCTATGTAACTTATAGTTCCAAGTCTTATATTTAGGTCTTTAATCCATATTGAATTAATTTTTTATACTTGGGGACAAACTGTAATCCAGTTTTATTTATTTGCACATGGCTTTCCAGTTTTCCCAGCACCATTAATTGAAGAGACTATCCACCATCTTTATTTTATGTGGTTATGTGATTGTTGTTCAAATCCTCCAATGGTATATTTCTTTCTGAACCCATCAGAAATTCTAAAAAATAAATAAGTAAAGATGTCTCTGGTCCTTGCAACATTTTTGTTCAAATACATTAAAACAGTGTATTTGTGTTGACTCAAATGAATCTGAAAGTATATACTTAAAATAATTTTATATGTGCTATTTAAAAATAATTAATAGACTTTCTGTACAGTATTAGATTTACAGAGTAATTGAGCAAAGAGTACATGGAGTTATATTCATCCACACCTCCCCCACTCACCCACACACAGTTTCTTCTTTTATTAATATCTTGTATGAGTGATATATTTTAGCTAATAAAAGAGAAACATGCAAATTGAAGCATACCTCCACTACGCCCACAAGGCATGCCCACCAGCCAATCAAGAGCGAGTATGCAAATTAACCCAACAAATATGGCATTGGCCATGGAGCTGGAACAAGCAGGAGGCTTGGATTGCCCCCAGTGATGAAGGAAACCAAACTTCCATCCCCCCCCCCCCCCCCCCTGCGCTGGCCTCTGCTCAAGGCTACAAAGTTTCAGTTATAGAAGATAAATAAATCTAGATACCAGGGCCTCCACTTGGGTTGCTGGGGGGGGGGGGCAAACCACCATAGTTTCCTAGCCCAGGCCAACCCACACCCCAAGGGAATCCCCACCCTGATCTGGGACATCCTTCAGAGCAAACCAGCTGGCCCCCACCCATGCACCAGGTCTCTATCCTCTTATTTAATAAAAGAGTAATATGCAGATTGAGCATCACTCCAACACACAAGATGGCTTCCTCCATGTGGTCAAAGATGGCTGCCCCTATGTGGATACAAGATGGCCGCCACAGATGGCCAGAAGGGTAGGGCAGTTAGGAGGAACCAGGCCTGCAAGGGCAGGCAGTTGGGGCAATCAAGCCTGCAAAAAAAGGCAATTAAGGGTGACCAAGCCGGCAATGGAGGGAAGTTGGGGACAACTGGGCCTGCATGGAAGGGCAGTTGGGGGGGGACCCAGGCCTGCAGGGGAGAGCAGTTGTGGGGGACCCAGCCTGCAGGGCAGGGCAGTTGGGGGGGATCAGGCCTGCAGGGGAGGGCAGTTAGGGGCAATCAGGCAGGCAGCCAGGCGAGCAGTTGGGAGCCAGCAGTACTGGATTGTGAGAGGAATGTCCTAGATTGGAGAGGGTGCAGGCTGGGCTTGAGCGACACACACACACACACACACACACACACACACACACACACACACAAATGTCCATGCACGAATTTCGTGCACCAGGCCTCTAAATTATATGTTCCATTAATAGAAAATTAGTATTGCAAATTATGTTTAGAAGACTAATGGCATCATCCTCTTCTACAACATATGTACACCCTCACACACTAAATATTCCATTTATGGAAAATTAAGCAGCTTGCAAAGCATGTTGTAGAAGATTGTGATGACATCACTGTCTTCTACAATACATACACACTGTCAGGCACACATGCACATATGCATGCACACACAGACCAGAAAAAGAAACACACACTATATGTTAGCTTTTAAACTTTTTCCCTCCAGGGTGTAAGATACAGATGATTTGTGTTTGTTTTTTAATCTTCCCCTGAGGATATGTTTTTATTGACTTTGGGGAGAGAGGGAGGAAGAGAAAGAAACCTCCATCGATTGCCTCCTGTGTGCACCCGTACTGGGAACAAATCCACAATCTAGTATGTGCCTGACCAGAAATCAAACCTGCAACCTCTTGGTACACAGGGTGATGCTCCAATCAACTTAGCCATCCGGCTAGGGATTTATTTTTATTTATATATTTTTATTTTCCTTTAATGGCCTATGACTATATTTATCAAATATATAACAATCGTATTTTTCCTTGCTTTTCTTTTTTTAAGTTAACTTCAAGAATTTTTAAAATGTCTTTTTATTGATTTCAGAGAGGAAGGGAGAGGAAGACTGAGATAGAAACATCAATGATGAAAGAAAATCATTGTTGGTTGCCTTTTGCATGCCCTCCTACTGGAAATCATGCGGATGCCTGGACTGGAAATCAAACCATGACTTCCCTCCTGGTTCTTAGGTCATCACTCAATCACTGAGACACGCCCCAGTGGACTAAGTTAAATTTATTGAAGTAATTTTTGTTACCAGTGTTGGGGTTCGTGGGTTCTCCAAGATAGAAATCGAGAGGAAGCCCCAGAGGATTTTCCAGACATATTTTATTAAGCTTATGCTGGAGCACAAGAGAGGCAGCACTGAGGAAAAGAAAGGTCCTCTGAATTGGCTTAGGGGCTGGCTCTGCTTAGCTGTTTTATAAGTTGGGGGCAAAGCAGACATGTGTGAAAAGGTAGACTTTTTTAAAAAAAGCGGCCTTGGGAATTTGCTGTGTCAGGGTATGAAAAGCAAGAGTTTAGAAGGGGGACATAAGACATTTCGGTAGGAAGTGGAGGAATGGTTGCGTTCTTGTGGTGGGCCTATGAGTGGGTTTTTTTTTTTCTGGCCTTCTGGAAGCCTTGGAATCCCAGGAGGGGCCATGGGGAAATGTCAGCTCTGTGGGGTTTTTGGTGTAATGTCCTTGGGATCCCAGGCCCAGGTCCCTATGCTCTCTCACATTGGTTAATGACAATATGTAAATTTCAGGTGTACAACATTGTAATTCAACATTTGTATACTCTGTTGCATGCTTACCACCCAAAGCCAGTTTCCTCATGAGTATTTTTTTAATTAAGAAAAATATCAGGGGAGGGGATTGGTGAAGGAGAGGACATCTGTAATACTTTCTACAATAAAGATAAAAATACAAAATAGAAAAATGTTAACTCAAGTATAAAGAAAAGACTTGGAGGAAGTACACCAACATTATAAACCATAACTGTTTTTAAGTGGTAGGAGTAAAGGTAATATTTTGTATATTTTCTTTTAATGGAAAAATAAATATACTCATTAAAATTTTGTTTTTTAGCTTTATTAAAAACATGATTGATAAGCAACAATTAACATAACTTTTATATAGTTAACAAATTTTTAAAACATTTTATTTTCATTTTAGGCCAGAAATATACATACGGGAGAGTTGGCTGCAGTAAAAATTATCAAATTGGAGCCTGGTACGTATTAAAACACTCATGACAATTTTTTAACACTTTTCTTGTGCAGTTCACAAATATAGAACTTAAAAACATTTTCCATATTTCTTTGTTTCCCTTCTTCCAAAAGAAATGTTTATATATTGTCAGGGAAATAGGTTTTCTCAAATATGGCTACATTAAATTGCATTGGAGGTTATTAATTAAAGACAGGTTTTATTGCTAAATAAAAGTTCAAATGTGCACATTCAAAAATTGGAAGACACATTGACAATGTTAAAGTAGTTTTTAAGTTATAGTGAGATAATTGAGCTTCGATATTTACTTCTATGAGAATTTGATTAGGAAAGTATTCATTGGTTTTTGGGAATATTTGGTAATATTTGGCATAATGATATTTTATATGTTAGCTGTTGTCTTGCTGATTGATTTAAGTTTAATAATTCTGGTCTTAGATTTTTTAACACTTTCTGTCAGAAAATGCTTTTTTTTTTTTAACTCTTTCTGACAGAAACTCTTTTAAAACATATTGAGTGATTTGCTTTGAAAACAAAAGTATTATGTAAGACCTGAAACCGTTTTATTATTTTGATATCCTCAAAGGTTTTTTTTTCTCTTAGTAATGGGATCTTTTAAAAAAGTATTCAATTGGTATTGTATCCAGGTTTACCACAAAAATTAGAAAATTCAGAAATTATAAAGAAGAAAATAAAAATAATCCATTTGTCATCCAGGGATAACTATTATTGCCTTTTAGTGTATTTCCTCTTATTTTCCTCCTCCGTATACATGTAAAGATTTTACAGAGAGCATATACTATACTACTGTTCTTCACCTACATTACATAACTTTTACATAGGTCAGTAAATATTTTTTTCTTTTTAATTGAGTCATAAGTGACATACAACATTATATTAGTTTCAGGTATACAACATAACAATTCAATATTCGTCTATATTGTAAAAGGATCACAGTAAACCTAGTTAATATCTATCACCATACATAGTTACATTTTTTTTCCTGTGATGAGAACTTTTAAGATTTGCTCTTTTGGGTGGCCGGCATAGTTTGGTGGTTGAGCATCGGCCTATGAACCAGGAGATTGGAGATTGGATTTTGGTTCTCGGTCACAGCACATGCTGTGACCGAGAACCAAATTATATATAAATTATATAGAACCAAATATATATAAATTATATATATTTAATTTCCTCTTAACAACTTTCAAATATGCAATACAATAATATTAACTACTAGAGGCCTGGTGCTTGAATTCGTACATGGATGGGGTCCTCAGCCTGGTGGGCAATTGGGCCTCATTGGGACCATCTCACCCAGTCCTGATAAGGGCCTGTCAGGGCAGCCAGCCGAGAGAGGGTGGGGAGGGAGAGGAGGTATTGCTGGAGGTTGGCTGATCACAGGAGGTTGGCTGTGGGAGTGTACTGACCACCAGGGGACAGCTCCTGCATTGAGGGTCTGACCTCTGGTGGTCACTGTGCGTCAGAGTGACCAGTCAGTCGACTGGCTATTCAGTCATTCAGTTGCTTAGGCTTTTATATATGTAGATAGTTACCATGCTGTACATTACATCCCATGACTCACTTACTTTATAGCTGGAAGCTTCTACCTTTTATATTCCTTCACTCATTTTCCCCATCCATTCGCTTCCTATCTGTTCCCTGTATACATGAGCTTGATTTTTTGGTGTGTTTTTTAAAAGATTCCACCCATAAGTGAGATCTGTTATATTTATAATGCCCTCAAGATCCATCTATATTGTCAAAATTATAAGTTTCTAATGAGCTCAATAGTAGCTTTTTTTCTCCATATTTTTTTCTTTTTTTACTGTGGTAAAATAAACATTACATAAAACTTACCATCTAAACCTTTATTATTATTTTTTTTAATCCTCATCCAAGGATATTTTTTCCATTAATCTTTAGATAAAAACATCTATGGGAGAGAGGCACATTGACTGGTTGCCTCTCACATGCCTTGACCAGGGCCAGAGATCAAACCTGCAACCGAGGTATGTGTTCTTGACCGGAAGTCAAACCCAAGACCCTTTGGTCTGTGGGCCATTGCTCTTACCATTGAGAAAATTGGCCAGGGCTAAATGTGCTGCCATCAACACCATCCAACTCCTGAGCTCTTTTCATCTGAAACTCTGTAGTCAGTTAACAGTAACCTCCCATTCCCCTCTTCCCCTCAGCCCCAGTCAACCACCATTCTATTTTCTGTCTCTGATTTGACTACTTTAGGTACTTCATATACAATATTTGTCTTTCTGTTACTGGTTTATTTCTCTTACCATAATGTCCTCAAGCTTCATCCATGTTGTCACATCAATTTCCTTTCTTTTTAGGACTGAATAATGTTCCATTGTGTATATATTTGCCACATTTTATTTATCCACTCACCTGTTGGACACTTGGGTTGCTTTCAGCTTTTAGCTATTGTGAACATAAGCTGCTATGAACATAAGCTACAAGTATTTCTTTGAGACCCTGTTTTCAGTCTTTTGGGTATATACCAGTAGTGGAATTGCTAGATCATATATTTCTATTTTTAATTTTTTGAGTGACCACTATACTATTTTCCACAGTGGCTGTGCAATTTTACATTCCTTCCAACAGTGCACAAGGGTTCCAGTTTCTCTATATTCTTGCCAACAATTGTTATTTTTCTATTTTGGTTTGTTTGTTATAGTAGCAATCCTAATGGGTGTGAGTAGGTGATATCTCATTGTAGTTTTTATTTGTATTTCCTAATAATTAGTAATGTTGGTATCTTTTCATGTGCTTATTTGTATATTTGCTTTGGAGAAATATTTATTGTAAGTCCTTTGTCTGTTTTTTAATCTGGTTGTTTTTTGGTAGTGTTGAGTTTTAGATGTTCTGTATATAGTCTAGATATTAATCTCATCAGATTTGTGTTTTACAAATACTTTCTCCCATTATTTAGGTTGCTTTTTGTGTTGATAGTTTCTTTTGATGCCCCAAATTTTAAACATTTCTTAAAGTCCAATTTTTAATTTATTCTTTTGTTGCTATACCTTTGATTCATACCCAAGAAATTATTGCTAAATTTAATATCATGAGGCTTTTGCCTATTTTTTTAAAGAGTTTTATAGTTTTAGGGTGCACACATAGCCCCGCCCACCTGCGCACACAGCCTCCTGGTGATCGCTGGTTGCGGTGTGAGGGCGTCTTGGCGTGAGGGCATGACAACCACATAGACTTTCATTAATAGGAGAGACAATAGGTTAGCTGTTGATGGAATGGATCATGAAAGTGTTAAGAATAATGTAATTTGAATCCACAAATTGATCGATCTTCCCAAGCCTGCTTTTTCCTAGATCAGTCTTTCCCATTTTGTTTGGCAGTTAGCCAACCCCATTGCCTTGATTTCTCTTTCTTTTTTGTACTCCAGGGTCAGTCTGTCAGCAAGTTCCTTCAACTCCACTTCCAAAACATCTCCTGAATCCAACTACTTCTCATTATTGCCATCTCCACTCTCTTGGCTTCCTTGTTTCCTCTCCCACACTTCCCATCTGCCACCATCTAGTTTCCATAAAACTACTTGAGTAATCTTTTTAAACACAAATTTTTGTGCTCTCCTGATTAAAACATTTTTGGCTTTTCCAAATCCACTTAGAATAATATTCGAACTTTCAACCTTGCTCATAAAACCCTATATGAGCTACTCTGTCTACTATTCTGAACTCATCATGTATGACTTCTGCTTCCTTACTCTGCCTCTGCCGCCTTTTTATTGAAATAGTCCACCCAGTTGGTTGGAGTGTTGTCCCATACACCGAAAGATTGCAGGTTTCAAACCTGGTCAGGGCAACCAATGGATGTTTCTATCTTTTTAAAAGCATATCCTCAGGTGAGGATTAAAATAAAATAAAACAGTCCAAGATTAAACTAGCTCTTCTATTCTCAGGAGATTCTTGGTCATTCAGATTTCAATTTAAATGTTGTGTCCTCAGAGAGACCCATTTCTGACTACCTAATTTAAAGTAGACACCCAGGCCTTGTTATTTTATTTCTCTGCATAGGACATGTAACTGTTTGGTATTTATTTATACACTAGAGGCCCAGTGCATGAAATTTGTGTATGGGGGCAGGAGGGGTGCCCCTCAGCCAAGCCTGCAACCTCTCCAATCTGGGATCCCTCTCACAATCCAGACTGCTGGCTCCCAACTGCTCACCTGCCTGCCTGCCTGATTGCTCCTAACTTCTTCTGCCTGCCAGGCTGATCACCCCCTAACCACTCCCTGCCAGCCTGATTGATGCCTAATTGCTCCCCTGCTAGCTGTTGCCCCTAACTGCCCTCCCCTGCCATCCTGGTCACCCCTAACTGTCCTCCCCTGCAGGCCTGGTTGCCCCCAACTGCCCTTTCCTACTGGTTCAGTCATCCTTAACGTACTCCCTTGCCTGCCTAGTCACCCCTAACTGTTCTCGCCTGCAGGTCTCGTCCCAACTGCCCTTCCCTGCTTGCCCAGTTACTCCTAACTTCCCTCCCCTGGTTGCACCTAACTGCCTTGCCATGCTGGCCTGGTCACCCCCAACTGCCCTTCCCTGCAGGCCTGGTTGCCCCCAATTGCCCTCCCCTGTTGGCCATCCTATGGCAGCCATTTTGTGTCTACATGGGGCAGCCATCTTGTGTGTTGGAGTGACTGTCAATTTGTATATTAGGCTTTTATTATATAGGACTATTAGCCCTGAGCACAAATCCATGCACTGGTAGCTTGCTGCCACCCTCCTGTAGCTCTCTGCCTGCTTCCCCACCCTCCTGTAGCTCCCTCTACCCCCTTCCTAACCCCTATTGCTTGCTGCCCTGTCCCCTTCTGTAGCTCTCTGCTACCCACTTATAGCTTGCTGCCCTACCCTCCTACTGATCCATGATCTGGTCGTTACTCGGTAACACGGTTGGTTGTTACACTTCATGGTAACATCTTTATTATATAGGATGTTTGTTTGTTTAAGGTCAGTCTCTCCTACAGTGTAAGATCA